CCTGCTGTCTGTAGTGAAATATGCCTAGCAGGGATAGAGTGTGCGTGTGTGTGAGCACGCATGTGCGCGTGCGCGTACTGGAGAACACCAAGGAGGTAAATCAGATCACTCCTTCCTCGGATTTTGTTTCTGAATGGGCTGTGTTTTGATACTGAGGAAAACACAGTTTTGTCTACTTGAAAACCAGGTTTGGGGAGCCCAGTTTTCCAGTCATATATCAGCAGTCAATAGCCGTTTGCTAAAAATGTATTAAAATTATGTAAAAATAATTATAAATTATTCAAACAATTGTATTGGGTAATAACTTGCTCTTTCATCGTGATTTAATGCACTGGTGTTCAGACAGTGTGTTCTTCTACCTCTTTTTGCTGCTAGTATTGCTTTATGTTTTTGGGAATTTGTTCCTCATGCATCTCCTAAAGAAGTATGGTTTAGAAAAATTTGAAACAGAATAGGGGTGAGTTTTCAGCCTCTGGTAAGGAAAATTGCTATTGAAAAAACATTCCAAAACATTGTGGGGCTAAATAATCCTGAAAAAATACAAGAAGAGAAAATATCCTTTGAGAACTTTGAATGGTGTCCTGGAAGGCCACCTCCAAGTACCATCTCCTTGAGGAGGTGGAACGTAGTCCTAAGACGTGTTTGATATTCTTACATTTGTATAAAAATTTGCAGAGCTCTTGTGAGCAATCTGTCCTTTCAGTGCGTTCTGTGCATCCTGGCAGTACAGCTTCTTCTGGAACTGGGTTTTTATTGAAAAAAAAAAACAACCTGATACTCTTTTTCACCCTAGAAAAGGCCTGTATTTCTGTTCTGCAGTTCACACAGCTTGGAGTGTTTCATTGTCAGTTTGACAGTCTGATAGGCTTTAGTATTATACTATTGCCAACTCTGCACAACACATATTCAATTAAAAATATTTTTATTGGAAGAGTTTGGAAATTAGAGGAGTTGCAATATGTCATTTTCAATACAAACTGAAGGTCTCTGTTCTTTTTGAATGAATCTTTTTCAAAGCAATGTAGTTCAGAAATGTTTTTGAAATTGTTTTCAATTTTCTCTAGTCACAGAATGATTCTGTATATAACATGAGTCATTCAAAAGGCATACCGGAATTACCACCCCTACCTGCTTCTGCTGTGCCTTCAGAATTGTATCAGGTATGTGCTATCCCCACTTTCATCAGGGTGTTCATTAAATTACAGGTGCTAGAATGATTTTAGGAAAAGCTGATTAAATCACTAAGTTAAAGTACTAAACAGGTTGTCAGAGACTTCACTAAAAGTGTTGTTACTGCTTCTATTATGGTTTGGACGTTATACTTTGGAAGTTTAAAACTGATCTTTAAATTTATGGTCCATTAGTTACAAGTATTTTTTAAATTTTGAATTGGAGTTAATTTTGAATTTAATGTTGAACTTAAAAACTCAAAACATTTAATTCAAAATTTTTAAAATACTAGTAGTAATGGCCCATAAATTTAGAAGGAAAGGAAGCAAATAGTAAATTTTATTTTTCTTTCAAACAAATTGTAATTTTTTTTCTCCACCTAAATGCTTCATGGCAGAACACAAAATAAATGAGTTAGAATGCTGTTCCAAAAACAGCTGAGAGCTTGACAGGCACAGTCTTGAGCTAAAAGGATAGGTTGCACAGCTGCACAGCTACAACCAATGCTGTATGACATAGGAATAAAAGTGACCTGTGCTAGCACTTAAGGGAGGAAGAAACAAGGGATGGCTTTCCCCCCTTTAAGTGGTTCACAGTTGCTGATGTGGCAGAGTTTGTGTCAGTAGTCCAGTTCGTCTAGAACACCTTGCATTAGAAAGATGTTTGTGAAGAAATCAGAATAACTTCTGATGGAAAATGTGTTATTTCCCAAATTTTAACTGAAAAAGATACTGTAATGGTAAAAAAGTGAAATTTTTTTTGTCTGATGAAGATTTGTATACAGCTCTTCGATTTTCATCTGAAAATCAGTCGGACTTCATGGATGTGTGTCAAGGGTTTGTATAAGACATGGCAGAGGATTTAGCCAGACCTAAAATTCCTATGTCATGTCAGTAGGACATAAACGGTAGATTTTGCCAGGTGACGTTCTTTGTTCTTCTCCAGGAACAACTGTTTTTTTCTGGCCTGCTTCATGCTCAAGGGATTCCCTTTGGTATCACCATTAATAAGGCATCTGCACTGCATTCAGGAAGTTGTTCCTCCTAGCTGGGAAAAAAGAGTACAGCTTGAAAAGGGGGCCTAGTTAGGAGGGGAGTGGAGAATTCAGAGCTTATGCTGACTTCAGCAGTCCCCAAAGATGCACAATGACTTCCTAGGGAAAAAGCTCCAAACCTCTGAATTATTTTTAATTCATGTACCAGTTTGTTCCACAAAACTGTGATTCAGGGACCTGCTCATCGGTCCTATTTTCATTGCTGCATGACTTTCTGGAAAGCTCTCAGGTACAGAGCTGGTGGAAGAAATTGAACTGAAAAGATTCTATGAAGTTGCAGAAGCTAATTTAAGGAGTATGACTGCAGTTCAGCAACAGTGTGAATGCCTTTTTCTTTGCTGATAAGATTAGCCTTGTCAGTTGGAAGAAAAATGCAAGGCAGAAGTAATAATCTTACCTTATCACCTGTTTCAAATTGACTAACTGTTCTGTTATTCTCACTAAAGCTCATGATAGACTGAGAAAAAAATTCATAGCTACATCTGTGGGATAAATGGAAAACGGCTATTCTGTGCTTTAATACGCTGTCCTTTCAGAGGTTACAATGTGCTATGTAATGCTGTGCTATAAAAGGAAGAAATGGGTGATAGGGATATGGTTCGTTATTAAAAGCAAGTTAAATGCCTTTAAAAAAGATATGCTACAAAACAAAACCTAAATATGAATTTAAAATGAGAGCTCTAGGAACCACGATGTGAAGTACATTAAGGATTCTTTCTCACGTGCATTTTCTCCCTGAGGATGAGTGTATCTTCATATTTCTTGATCCCATGTCCCTTATAACTGTGAGTTGTCTCATTACAGTTTGGACATTGGGACTGATGACAAGCCAGTCAATAGACATCGAGTCACCCTAGAAAGAGCATAGAGTGAACGGACAAAAGAAATCTATTACAAATCTTTTATTGATGTGGGAGAGAGAAAAAGATAAGAGCTGAATTTGTTAACTCGTGTTATTGTTTAACTATCATGATGCTTGACTGTTAAGTGCAGACAGGTCATTAACAAAGGCTTTAGAAAAAGGTATTTTTTTTTAACTTTAGCCAAATGTAAGGAAAAGAGGAGAAGCAAGAGGGAGATGTGGTGGGAATAAATAGTACTAAATAATGTGCTAGTACCTTTTCTTGTTTATAAAAATACCTTGATTATGCCAAAATGCGTGAATACTCCTACTGAAGAGCTGTGTAAAATTACTCGTATGTGTCGTATGTGTGTGTGGAGCATCAGGCTCTAAGAATAAAGTGGTGATCAGATGACTCACAATGAGTGGAATGGGTGTATTTTCATACTAATTGATCTTTTGCCCTGTTCTATCTCTAAGAAGACTCTTAAAAAAGACTCTTAAAATCATTGTGCAGTGTAAGACTTGTTTTTGTTTGTTTGTTTTCAATTTCAGCTTGTCCTTAAGAACAGCTGTTATCCTCCTTTGATGCAACGAGTGTCATGGACTTTGGCAGTTCCATTCAAAGAACAGCGTTACTACCGGAGCCCAAGTGACTCCATAGCTAATAACTATTCTCTTACCGCACGGGATTTGAAACTGAAAAATGTTCACAAAGTAGGGTCTTCCTCAGTGGCAAGTGCATCTCTGGGTTCAGCCAAGCAGAGAGCAGCCTCACCGTGTATCCGTGTTTGAATGTGCTCATAGGTTTAGCCTTGTTTATTCTATACATTTTTATCTGTAATTACTTATCTTTTAAAGC